GACAAATATAATATAGAGATTGACAAGGTGAACAAAAATATACCACAGCTGTCTAGGAATAACTCAAATCTTCATTTGAAGAGAAAATCACTGCCAGATACTTCCAACCATTCATACAGAAATCAGGAATATCAAAGACTTTAAAAACTACTTAGAAATGAAGTTTAAGAAAATCAGGAAGAGAGCCCAAGACAAATAACTACACAAAAATAACTTAGAAGACTGACAAAGACCATACCATTCCTATTTTAAGCCATTACTTCACATTTAGCCCAGCTGTCTCAAAATTCTATAATTCTGTATCATACAGCATGTGATATATTAGTGAGCCACACCACTAACTTAACTTCTTTAAGTTAACTTCCAAAAGTATGAATTCCACACTCAAAAGAAAAAGAGTTTGGTGACAAATGACAGCCCCTAAAAATCTGCTCCAGGGTGGAAAAATAATTTGTACATTGGAAATTCAAGACTTCATTTTATCTACCACAACTCTCAACATGGGCATGGCCTAAATCTAATGATTTTGTATCATATCCACCCATTATTTACATTTGGTCAAACATATAATGGAAAACAGTGACAAAATGCCAGCCTTTCTGCCACTAACACAGCACATCCTGGATTCCTGACAAAAACTGAGTTTTTCCATCTGCTCCAGATCCATGGTAGTACATTACCTCTACTGAGAAACTACTGTTTCACATCAGTGGACGCAAACCAAGTTCAGCACTTTTAAATTAAAAAGTAAGGATTTTAATAAGATGCTGAGAATCCAACAAAAAGTGGTCAAAAGGGTGAAAAGGTCCTGGAACATCCACCTAAAGCAAAGGTTTGGTTTCTCTTCAGCCCAAACAAAAAAAAAAAAAAAAAAAAAAAAAAAACCAACAAAACCAAACAAAAAAAAAAAAAAAAAAAACAAAAACAAATCCAAAAACCAAAACACAAAAAAACCCCAAAAACCCAAAAAAAACCCCACATTAAAAAAACCCCAAAACCAAAACAACCCACCCCGAAAGAGATATACAGCAAAGCCTTCAAGGAAGACTCCTGCTCCTGCAGCAAAAACAAAATGTACACAACTAAAAAGGAAAGGAAACAATGCAGCAAACAGGATACTTTTTGTTGCACTCTATTCAGCTGCTGTGCATCTGGAAACTCTACTGAATAAATGCATTAGAACAGAATACTATAAATTTGATCTTAATTGAAGGGTCATCATACAAAATGCTTTCCCCTGCTGCCTTGCATTAGATTTATGCTCAAACTACTTTCAAGCATCTGATAAAATTGGTGACTTCTGTGATTTACACAAGCTATCAGATGTGTGATTCATGCTGTTCTCTTATTTGTCAAAACAACAAATGTATTTTGTCTCCAGCTGTTCCTTCACCCTTATTCTATGATCAGGAAATGACAAAAGGGCACAAGTACTCAGCACTGGACTGGAATCCTCCTTGGTTTCCTCTCTCTAAGTCCACTCCTTTCCATCACACATTGCCTCCTAGCCTCTTTCTACACTTCAGTCATAGTGAATGAATTGATTAATCTCTCCCATATTCTGGTTCACAAATATCAAAGTCCTAGTAGCAGCAGTACTTAAAAGTGGTCAAATTTTTTATTATAGCAATACAATACTACACATAGTCATCAGTGGAATTATCCACAACACAAACTCAGAAAGGGAAAACCCAACAGGCATTATTCCTGAAATACCCTGAGGAAAGTTACTCTGAATTCTCCCCTTCAACATTTTTAACAAACTATTTCAAAGTCCACTGAAGTGATCAAAGATGTGGAATATTTTCCCATACCTGTTTCCTGCAAAACGTACACAGAAATTTATCCTGGAAACAGAAACCTCAACTTTTCAAAAGTGTAGAAGCAATTAATGCATAACCCAAATTATAAAAAATTTCAAGTCATTCCATTACTGCACTTCAGTCTTGTGAAGAAACACTACTTCTGAAATAGGGTTCCTCATTTAGATATCCATGACCTTCTAAAACAAAAATCATGCTATAAATGCAAGTAGGGATAAGCATAAAGCATGTGTGTGCATTCAGGCTGCTACTTGCACTTACTACCTTGGTTGCATGTCATTAATACCGGATTTTGTTTGGCCATGAGGCTGTTCCAAGGTGTGAACTTTTCCAGTCCTGGCATCTCCAGGAAAAAGAGGTAGCAAAACCACTTGGATGTGAAGCCATATGACAGCCTCTCCATGAAGAGATCACAAGCAGTTCTGTCTTAGCACACCCAAAAGAACCAAAAAGTGACTAGCATGCGCAGTCACGTTCATACTTTCACTCTTGATTTCTCCCTGTCCCCATCTCGGTCACAAGAAATCTGCTCCCTGTTGGCTGCAGGATGACAAATACAGAAAAACAACTATTTGAATCTCAGACTGCATACTAACATGCATGAGCTACAAAGGGAAAAAAATCCTCATCTTAGAGAATATTAAGATCTGAAGGGGAAAAAATAAACCCTGAATCAACGGAAAACAAGGGTGTTTTCTTTCACTTTCCAATGTTTCTCAGCAGCATGGCCTTTCACCAAAGTGCATCAGGATTAGACTGAAGTATTTCAAAGAGGTGAGAAATAACTCTTTGATGTTGTTTCAAAGAAAATGGCTTCTCAGGAATTCCCACAAGGTGCAGAATCTGGTATATTTGGGAAGATAAACATTAAGGCAGTAGCAGGAGTTACCAGATCGTGTCTTACTCAAAGGAGAATTTTAAAATATACTACTCTTTCAGCAGCTCTGTTACTAAAGCTTTGCAATGCTATGCTCAGTCTGTGCTGCTACACAGCTGCCTTAGCCCCCAATTCCACCCAGCTTTAACCACTCACTCCTTACACACCCAACCTGTGCTCTGGGCTCCAGTGCAGCTGAGAGGATCCTCATTCTTCCTCCAGTCACTCAGCCTGGAAAATCACACATTGACACAAAAGAGGAGCCAGAAAATGACTGGATGGTGGCCAATTAAATAAAATAATTGGCACCCATAAAACACATGGGGTATACCATAGGTCTTTACACCTCATGAATTCTCTGCTCTATTATTACCAAGACAATTACTCTGGGACATTTGTTGAGCAGTCCAGCACAGCAAGCATTGGCTAGAAAGTTGTCAGCTACACACACAAAGAAGTCCCTGTCTGCAGCTATAAAGTTTTACCTTTCATTCCTGAATTCCAGTCAGTTGGTGACAGGCAAAGGATGTGTCTGTGTTCAGACTGCCTCACATGGCACACAGCAGCAGAACCTCTCCCCAGCATGCAGAGAGCAGTCATGCCAGTCCTCATCCTTCCCTCCCTGCCTCTGTGGATGAATCAGGAAGTGGCATATTTTTCTTAAGCAAACTCATTTCAACAAATTACAGCAGGAGCTCTCTGTTCCACCCATCAACATACCATTGCCTGATGACCAGCTTACTCACTCCTTCCATTTTGTTAATTTCCCTGCCCCCTATACTTGTTCATGTCTGTGCACGAGGCATTTCATAAAATTTTGCGGCTGCACTAAAAATTTCTTTTAACAGGTTATAGTGCACACTGGCTACTGCTTTCCTTGTCCACCCACCCACCCACTATCCATAACCTGGCTCTTAATCACCCAATTTCCCAGGCCTATTCTGACAAGTGAAAACACAACAACCTAAGCTGTCTTCCTAAGCTGACTTCTAGGACTTCGGGCAGGTGTTTCAAGCCACGACAAGCAGCAGCAAGGGCAGGTCCCCGTGTGGCTATTTCTAACCAAACCAACGCTCCAGCTGAGCATATTTAAAGGCAGAAGCCGTTCCGGACACGGAGCAGAGGCTCCTGGGAGTGGAGGAAAGGCCGGTGCCAGCTCTGCGGCACCATCTAGCGCTGAGAGGGAACAACGCTCTCGGGATAGATAACACACACACACCGGGTTACGCAGAGCTCAGAAACAACGCAAAATAAAGGCACGTGAATACAAAAGGAAAACAAACAAAAGGAAAACAAGACAACTTCTGGTAACCCATTTTCACTGTGCACATGCTGGGGCCCGCTTCTGTCACTCTAGGACTAGAATATTTCTGTGGCACAGTCCACATTGGTTGCACACCAGTGAAGATGCTGGCAGTGCGCACTGCGCAGTCCAGCCACGCTCCTTACCCCGATTCCCACAGGACTCAGCAGATGAATCACAACAGCCACATGTTCTGGAAACGTACGTGCAGCCTTGCAGCTGCCTCCCGCTCCTGTTCCAGGCTGACAGCCACTCTGGAAATCACGGCAGAAGGGCAGCGGCTCCGGAACAAAGAGCGGCCAGCCCTGCGGAAGGCAGTCTCTGCACATCCTCTCCTACAGGCAGAGGAGAGGAGAGCCCAGCTCCTGGGCATGCTGGCACCTACACACCATTAACTCGGAGATTCATGGCCCTGCTCAGACTCAAACCGCAGATCCCAAGTGGTTCCCTCCTGCTCTCTAAAGTTACATCTACTTCCTCCAATTTTATTACCACTACTAATCATAGAGGTTGGGGTCGCTTCTTTTTTCCATTTCCTGCATCCAAAAAAGTTCACTACTTATTATAAATCTAGATGACATGGCTTTTTTTTTTTTTTTTGTTCTCCTGAGAGCAGCTTATTCTTATAATTTTATACAGCTGCATATTTGCAGCATCTAAGGAACAATTCCTGCTACACTGGAAGAACTTCAGTGCCAGATTCTTCAACCTTCAAATATTCCAGCAAGTTTCAGTTTAAAATAGTAGAAAAGGTGATTTTTCTACTATTATGAAGTCTCCAAAGAGTTACAGAATTCACATCCTTAAGTTGTGTGAAATCTAGCTGTTTCTCAAACTCCCACTGATATCAACTCTCCATTGATTCCAATCTTTTATTCTCATGCCAAAACACCACTTTGAAAATCTACCCCAGTGACAAATTAAATATAATTAACATTAATTTTCAAATGGTGGCCCTCAGCAGGACCTGGTCAACAACACAGAAAGCTACCACATATGCATTAATTTCAAGTTTTATTCTTCATGTTGGTGAAACACACAGCCTCAAGAGGCAGCATCTGTAGAGCTGTTGCAAACACATTTTGTACTCTATTACACTACAAATTTGGGAAAAGAACAAGTAAAGCACAGGTTTCACACTGCACTTGATCATCTGACTATTAAGTTACAGATAATTTAGAAATCTTCTGATTTTACATAAACATTGCATCAGCCATTGCTCAGCCTCCATGCACAATTTATTTTTTTATTACAGTCAACACTGGTTTTGGAAACTCTCTTGCTGTAAATGTTATATTTTCCATTTTAGATCACTTAAATGGTATTTACATAAGTGTGCAAATTGCTTTGAAAGATAGAAACAAACACTAACACATAATATACAGACAGTTTCTTCTATAGTTAAACATTGCAGTTAACATTCCTAACACACTTTCACTGTCTAAAATAGGAGAATAAGTTATATAAAATAGACCATCTTATTTTCAGATGCTTCCATTTCTGCAGATTTGGTCTTTGCAGCAACATTGCAATTAAAGATTAAGATTCTACTACTAAGAATCAGAAATGTCAATTAATGGCAGCTTAACATGTTTAGTACCAGTCACTTTTGTCCCAGATTTTCCACACTTGGCACAGAACAAAGAAACAACTTGAGGAGGGAGGAAGACAGTTTTGCGCTTTTTTCTTGTCATATGGAAAGTACGTTTTTAAAATGCAACAGAAATTTTAAATTTTCTTTTAAGGGTCTGTTAGTGTTACAAGCACAGTTTAAATAAATCTGAAAATTCTTCCACAGAAGCACACACAGTTCCCAGTTTTCTTATGGACCTCATCATTTCAGATACATGCAACTGTTCACACACACAAAAAGCAGACTCCTTGGGCTCACACAATAAGACTGATTTCAGAACTAGAAGGAGCAGGAAATGCTTGAAGAAAACAACTTAGTGTCCCCTGAGTTCCTACATGTGCATTTTTTCTACCTGTGATGAAGACTCACCACAGTAAGTGTTATGTTCCACTTGATTTGAATCCAGAAGGCAGAAGTTAAACTCCAGTTAAACTGCAGTGAGTTCCTCCAACAGCAAAAATTCTAGAAGAGTTCTAGAATTCTAGGAAAGTCTTCAAAACCACCTTTCATGTATAACTGCAAGCATTCTCAGAGAAAAGCAATTCACTTCCTAAAATTTCACAGAGCCAAAACTTTTACATACATCATCAGTAACAAAGGGAAATTACCCATCAGATAGTGAAGACCTACAGGTGCATCTTAAATAGCTTTAAAACTCATGGTTATTATTACACAAGACAAAGACACAAAACGGGTTTATGAACACCCATTAAATTGAATAATGTGACCTTCTAATGTGACAGCAAGTTATGCTGCAGTTTGTGCTCCTATCTCAATGTTATTGAGTGCTATTCACCCCAAGCAAAGTGAGCATTAGCGCTCTAAAATTTGAACCTTTATCACAATTACGCCTGACACAATTTTGTCACACATGTGGTTGATATTTTTGATGACATCCAATTCTTTAATATGGCAGACACGATCTCAACACTTTAGACTGTGCTTTTGGTCTCTTGTTTACAGAGCTTTGAGCATCACATACAAATCCCTGCTGGATTCCAAATGACATCACCCTAGGGCAGACCTTGCTTAGGTCCTGCTGAAAAAACAAGCCACAGGTTCAACTTCTAGACTCAACAACTTTTAAGCATAAAATGGTGAAACAAATTCAGGACACGAATGAAGATTGCAAAACATATGATGACTTGAAACCAAATATAAATAGGATGCATTAAAATTTGGTTACCTTGGATTCTAAGCAAGTTTGAAAAATGTTACTTATAGGAGACACCTGTTCAATGTTTTGAAAATATGAAAGAATCAAATGTCTTCATACATGCTAATGTATGAAGACATTTTATTATTTCGTATTTTCAGCATACTGATTAGCAAATAAACACCTAGGACACTTATGAACTCAAACATATCATTGAAACATTCTATGTAAGTTTTTGTTAAACATTTGTCTTCAGAAGTTTATATTCAGTGCACGTTACCTGCTAACTTCAGTTTCCTTTGGTTTCAGTTTCAGTTTGGTTATGGCATGCTTCAAAAACACTGCTAAGAATGGTGGTTCACTTCTTCCTTTTCTAAGGTGCACATTACAAACACTATGGACACATTTATTTCCAAGTACTTTTAAGCTTGCAAGATAACTTCAAACTAGTTGACTTAGTGTTTTTTCACACTCATGTGGTTACTGTAAAAATAAGGTATTAAAATAACATTGTGCAGTAAAAACATGTTGAAAACAAACTGAATGCTCCCCCTAGTGCTTACACAAGCAAAAATCCTGCCTGGCACAGTCTGCCTCAACTGGCCTTAAACAGGAGATAAACAGCCAGATGAATGATGATACATTTAACTCTGAAGACAAGGCAAACATCTTACTGGGACCAGAAGTGTCAGTTGTTGAAATCCAGCATTTAAAATTTTGTACTACTCCCTCTCCAGTGCTTCTGAAGTTTTGGTTTCTTTTAAACTGTGCTTTTAGTAAAACTCTCCTCAATTTTTCCCATCAGCTGAAGGCAGGGCCCTAAGGAAGCTCCTGCCAGGTAAGAGATGAAGTCCAAAGATGTTTCAGGATGATGGGTACAATCATGCTTTTTCTCCTGCATTGCACCCAGAAGCTGCCAAGTTAATATTAGGATTCCCATATCACAATTGCAATGAAGCTCTGGTAAATCTGGTACCTTTGGATATGCTCAGCTTCACAAGTCAGTCAGATGTGACAACCTAGTCTGTAGCTAGCACAGTCCACCAGAATATTCATCCTCTTCCTCATCAGCATGGGAGCCCGCTGCAGCTGGTCCTCTGGCTTTGTCTTGGGCAGCGTTTGGTGACTTCTTCTTCATTCCACCTCCTGGGACCACCAAGGTAAGACCAAGCTTGGCATACTGACAATAACAAGGCAAGTTTAATTTCTGTACTATCACAGAATTGACTGATGCTCACAATAAGCAAGCAGGCAACATGCAGTACAAAAACAGGGTGATGATGCTCTCAGCTTGGGATAAATATAACATTGGTCCAATTTTCTCATTCTCAAATACACTGAGAATGGGATATAAGATCTGTATTGATGCTGCTTATTATCAAATAAATTGGCCACATTTTGAACCTCCTTTAACCTCCTCTGGTTCAAGCTTTATGTAGAAAAGAAATAATTCCAGTATGTAGCTTTTCATACATTATCTACTATTAGATCATGTAAACAGTTTTATAAGTGTTGTTCAGCAAGACTACTAACTCAATTTTTACTATTCAATGAAGTGAAATCAGCCAATACTGCTACAGGGTTTGGTAGGGATGGCTGTTTCCATTACTTCACACTTTTGTTATCTTATACTTCCTACAATTTACAAATTCAATTAAAGAAAAAATGGTGGGGAAAGAGACACAACTACTTGTTCCCAATTCAAAATGAGTTCCTGAATGAGTACCTTACTAAGAACAAGCAATGGAAAAAATCATTCAATGATGCCATCCTGCAGGCATCCTGCTCTGTTCATGTTTATGCACATTCATCTGCTGTAAGGTATTTCTGAGAAAAAGCAGAAGCAGCAGACTGTTCTTGCTCTTATGGAAGCAAACAGAAGAGGCCTGAATTTTGGTCTACTCATTAAACAAATTAAGCAAATCCTTAACAAGCTGTTCTTTCACATAACTCTTTGCACCATCTGAAAGGTAGGCAGCACCATCACTGGCAGGCAAAGTAAAAGAATGCAGGAAGCTCACAACCAAAGGGCAGCATGACAGGAAGTCACAATAAATGCACAGACTGTGCTCTTATTTTTCTCTACTAAGAAAAAATCCCCACCCTCTTAACTCAAAAAAATCTCCCAATCACAGGATCTGTCTACTTACATCATTATCCATGTATTTGAAGAGTGGAGAATTACAGACTTCAGAAACTTGATCCTGATCTTGTTGATCATACCCTTCTAAAAGTTGCTCCAGTGCTGCACAGTCTTCACTTCCATTAAATCCTGGTATACTGAAGGAAATTAAGAGTTGATTTCTTTAGGTACATGAATCATACTCATAAAATTTAAACTTTAAGTAATATTAGTTTGCACACTGCAAATAAGACCACAATCATAGTTAAGACGAAACAAGAATATTTGATTTTTTTTCCTGGTAAGTCAATAAACTCTTTCTCCACTTCACATACAGAAATAATTCTGTCATGAGTTTCTGTATATAAAATTGGAGATTTGGAAAACATAAGCAAGATGTTTAAAGACTGACCTTGAAAGATTATTTCTAAATAAATAATCTTCAAAAAATTTTCAAAGGTAAAGTACTACAATTTAACTTATACATATCTTCATTTCACTAAAAACACAGTTGAAGTAAAAACATGTTGTTTTGAGATTTTGCTACTGAAGTTCCAATGAAAGTAGAAATGAAGAACTGCCAGGGTTAAACACTAATCCATATGTTGACACCAAAATTTTCTCCTGTAACGTGGCAAGAACTTTTGATTTCCATCTCATTTCCTCTGTCACACAAGTAGTTCTTTATGACTCTGTATTTTAGGTTTGTTAAGAAGAATCACTGTAGCCACTATAGCTAAATTGTTATGAGTGAAAAAGATTCCTGATAGCCATACACAAGGGGACATTATTATTGTATTGTAAGTCAACAGAAGTGCAGGTTAAAAATTTATGAAAGTAAAATGTCAAGCAAGATAGATCTACACTAGTGAAACAATCAGTTTAAAATCATAGCACACAAAGTAGACTTACCTGTAACTTTCCCTCACACATCTTTCTGCAGCAACATAATCATTTCTATGAAGATGAACTAAGACTTGAGCAATAGTTTTCTAAACAAAAAAAAAAGCAAGCCTTACGATTCTTTAGAAATTAACAATAAAATATGAGAAAAATAGTAGACTGTTAATATCGAGTATGAGAAAGGTCATTACAATCCACAACCATCCTAAGATACTGACACAACTACTGGCACAACAACTGACACAACAACTGAGTCAGAACAATCTAGTGAAAAAGCAGAAAGCCATCATCTCAGCTGGTATGAAATAGGTTATGTCCTATAACATTTTAATGGATTGCTGTCCCAAGTAACAGTTTTTGTAGTTTGTTTTATTGATAACATCTTTATTTTTTATGTGTTGTTTAGTTTTGACAGCTCCTGTAGATAATAGCATCTTAAAACTTACAAAAGCACAGCTGAAGTTTGGGGAAACACCATTACCACAAATTCTCATCATTCAGCAAGAAACTTATCGCTGAATCAAGAGGTGCCCATCATCTGTCAGATGTCAGTAATAACAAAAATTAAAAAATTGAAATGTATTATCAAAAGTTCTCTCTTAGACTTTACCTTATAGCAAGTGGGGTAGTTTTCAATTTCCTTATAAATACTTTTTTCCTTTTGAAGAGACAGTGCAGCCTCATCTAATCTAAAAACCAAAAAAACAGGAGTATCAGTGCCAGGAATACAACAGAGTGAACCCAAGGCTAATTACAAAGTGTTTAACTAATACAGTGGCAAGTCTACTCAAATAAACAGCAACACAACTACAAATCAGCAGTAGATTTTACTAAGAGGTAAGGTAAATATATAGTCAGCAATTCCTTTTGTCTACGTGCTAGGAACACCTCTGGTATTTATTCAGAGAAACCTTGGTTTTTGTAACACCGTACAAGATGAATGCTTTGTTATATACACTAACACATTTCTATATGTCCTGAGGTTACTATAAGCTACCAGTAAGTCAGATATCCATGAACTAGCAATATAGTTATTAAAGGACCTAAGTGTTTCAGTGAAGGAATTCTAAGATGAATGGAAGGTCAAGTTTGGTACAAGAAATTTACAACTAAACTTGTCTCACTGAGACTCCAAGATTCATTCTTCTTTAAGAAGTCCAGAACCAGACCGCTGCAGATTTCATTCTTCAGGTCAGTCCTAATTCCTCTGTTTTATATCCCACAGCTATAGAAGATTTTCAAGTACTTTCTACATATTAATGGTGGAAAAAAAACCTAAAAAAAATCCTGAAGTATTTTAAGAATTAATGAAAACTGGTGTTTTCACAGAGCAAAAGTCTTTCAGCTCACATTCTCCCAGCCCAGAACAGAAAATCAGGTGGTTCCTGGATGAATATGGAATATCCCACAGAAACTGGACCTTAGTCTGAAGTGAGTCACAAATAAGAATAAATAGTACATAAAAAACCAAACAACACCAAGACAAAAAAACCACAATCAAAATCACATTTTAAGATTCAAAAACTTTAGAAGAACAAAAAGGGATAAAGCTATACCTGCGTCCTCTGACCAGAAGTCTTGATGCCTTCCCTAGCATTTCTAACGCCTGCCGTAAACGTTCTTCATTCTAGAGAAGAAAAAAAAGAATTCAGACTTTCTTATTTCACTTGCACAGAGTTAAGACCACTAGACCTTAATCTAAGTGTGTCACCTGTAACTTAGAATAACTGTTAGCTATTAGATCAGCAATTCATACACTCAAGGGAAACATAAAGTGTATTGGTGCTCCACAGCCAGCTCCTGTATGGATTTGCTCAGCAGAGGAATGTCAATGTAAATTTACTAATCTGAAAATACCCATGACAACTGACAATAGAAAAGTACATCAAAGCCACTTGTAAAAAGGCAAATCACTGTCTCATTTTAATGGGTGGAGCACCAAGCAAAATATCTTCTTCTGTGCCTTCAGGGATTTCAAATTATTTTGGGTTCCAGTACCCAACAGCAGATAGGTACTCTACCCTCTGTTCTGCCCAACAGGAGGCAGAACACTTGAACTACAAAATTCATATTCTGTCAAGTCCTAAATTGAGAAAAAGGCAAAGCAAACTGACTCCTAACTTTTGTCATCTCCTTCTCTAGAGCATGAGAAGCCTTCAGCTTCACTACTCAGCCACTGATGTAAAATGAAGGAAACGTAATTTAGAACCTAATCTTAGGCTTCTTCTTTACTTTACAGCTGAAAGAAAAGAACCAACCAAACTAAAAACACAGCCAAAATCCCCCACTTACTTCAAACACTGATGCTGCTTGCTGATAGAGCTGCACAGCCTTCTCTGGACTCACATTTTCTATTAACCTGTAATAAACATCAATACTTTCTCTTCAGATGAAAGGAAAATATTTTTTACCTGAAAGCATCAAAAAGACATAGAAGAAAAGCACAGACATACCCATGCCCTGCACAGATTCTAGCCACCAATAAGTCAGACTCACTTTCCAGCCCGTTCCAGGGCAATGGCTGCTGTGTCTGGTGTCCCATTCTCCAGGTACATCATACTGGCTTTTTCAATCAGCTGAACTGCTTCAGGGAGCCTCTGCATCTCCTACAAGGCAACAGCCACAGAAACACTGCTGTCAGGAAAGGAGTTCACATGCAAGGACACCAATCAAAGCAAATTGCAATAACTTCTTTATTAAGATTCTAATTTTTATTTACAAACTTGTAGGGCTAGTGAAAGTTAACCATCAACTCCATAAAATTCACTTTAAAGTCCTAAACTTTTCTGTAAGTCATGAATTTGTGGTAGTTATGAGTAAAAGCAGCACCACTCTTCTGTTACCCTCTGACAGGAGGAACTCTCCTTTTCTTTTACAAAAAGAAAACTGTCTTTCCCCTCAAATATAAATGTTGCTTTCCTAATCTACTGAAGGCAGAGATGGGGACTATAAGTCAACAGAAAAATTTCACTTCAATATGCAATTTGCTTACATATATTTGTAAAACAGTACACTGGACAATATTTGTCATTATAAAATAGAACTTAAAAATAAAAACTAGTAAATGAGAATACCTTTAGCATCATGCCAGCTTGTTCATAAGCTCTGCAGAGAAAAAAAATGTACAATTTGGTCAGAGATGATGTATTACAACAAGCTGTAGTTATGAGCAAAAGTTAACATGCACTGACTATCTAACATCTTCACAGTTAATATTTAATGCTTTGAAGATGTATCAAGTGTTTTATTTAAGGGCACAGCACACATGTAACTTTATCTTCAAAATTCAACCACACTTCCCAATAAAAATCTATTCTAACCCAATCCCCAGGCAATATTTGGATTATTGTCATCTCTGAAGTACTCTTTAATTAAAAATTTCTTAATTAGCTCAGCAGTGTAGAACTTCAAAATTACAAGAAGTTCATCTAAGAAAAAAATATTTGCTATCAAAAGGTGCTAAAGAATGCCAAAATCATAATTTCTTCAGGTGGCCATTACATATTTTCAAACTTTCCTAGCTCACACTTCCATTAAACTAATTATGAAGCAGCAAAATTACCTGAATGAAAACACTTACTCTAAGATCAAAATGTACTTGTACTGTATGTTAAAAAATCTGTTTCAGATTACTTAGCACGTCTGTACTTACTTGGCAGCATGAAAGAGACTAAACATGAAATTGCTGAAGTCAAGGACAAAAGCCACAAAAACATAATGCAGGAAAAATATTAATGTGTAAGATCTTACATAACTACTAATTTCAAAGCAAGGAACCCCATAAAGGCAAATCAAACCTACTACAACTACAGGCAAGTTGTCAAAAATAAATAATTCCAAGGACAGAATAAATGCAATATACCAATGTATGGCTACATAAAAAGTTGTAAAAAGCACACTTCCTTAAAATATTCCTGCTTATTAAATAGTACTACAAGTACTGTAATAATGTCAGAGCTTCATTAAGTTTATACCATGCATTAATAGATAATTAAAAACCAATTAAATTTCTGAAGCAGTACCTTGGTATCTCAGGCACCTGTCTGCTGTTATTTGGGACAACACTAACTTTCTCACCAACAGCTCTTCAGTTTTCTCACCCAGAGCACACAGGAACAGACTTTTAAAAAGCAATTCTGTTACACTGCCAAATGTGCAAATGTATTAAATAACCTGCTGCCAACCCCCATTACTCCAATCTAAGTAGCAACTAGTCAGCTTCTGGGAAAGAAAGAACCCCAGTCAATGAAAAGATACGCTTTATTGTTTTCATGTGCCTCAGCTTCCCGTAAACAGGCTTCCCTTGCCTGGTCAAACTGCTTGGCATTCTTAAAAGCAACAGCTGCAAAAAAGCAAATAAAGATTTTATTTACAACTTGACATTGTCTTCATTTTTACCACTGCTGCTCAAGAGTTTAGCTACCTAAAGATGCAAACAGGCTCTTTAAATGCATGGTTACAATTTACCAACCTCTTGCCAAAAATCCCAGATAGTTCTCCTTGTTTCATTAGTTACTAGTTACCATTAAAGACATTTATTGTCAACACCACTTCCATACCACCACAGTATCGTACACAACTCTCAATGTGTTTAACTGGACTTTGAGAGTCACTCATGCTGGATTTTAATTACAGACATGGAGGAATGCATATTTATATCATTTTAATCATTAGAAATTATACAAGGTCAGAAATGTGCCACCAACAAAGGTAGCATATAACTTCATCAGCACAATAATTTCAGGGTACAAATATATATTTCTATCTTGTTTAACTAATAAAATATAAAGTAAGATTTAAAATTAATTTCAATTTATAAATTCTCCAGTTGTTCTTCCAAGTTTGTATTTTTGTATTCAGTCTTAGGTGAATAAGCAGGAATGCCTAGAGTAAGAAGCCAAAAGACTACAACAAATTACTACCATGAGAAAGAAGAAAATGCTTAAGAACAAAAATAAATCAACAAGTAAGGATTTTATACTCAATGTGTCACTTGGCAGTGGAAAAAGGGAGGAACAAGACCATACTGTGCCTGAAAAAAAAAAACCCCAAGCTGGCAGCATCTCACCTTACTGAGACAGTCTTTGACAGGACATATTTCATAAGATGATGATAAAGCAAAATTTTAAAACCAGTTTGATCGTCTGTTGTTTTGTAGATAAAGTCACAGGATTTGGGGGTGGACAAGTGAAAGAAGGAAAGAAAGTTTTATTTTTGTCACATATAGCAATACAAAAAATAGAAATTGTAAGCTTGAAAAAAAAATTGGTTTTGGAGACTGTTCTAGATCTCCAAGAACAACCTGAAATATATTTTACAGTGCTACCAAGAGGATTTTTTGTTGCTTCATCTTACATTTACTCACACAGTAATGTAGTAAAAATACATAAAACATTATAGGGGACTAAGCTTGATGAATGCTTTGAAATATACATGGCCATATTTACTGCCACATACCTGCCTTCCCATATTCAGTAGCTGCACTGTCATAATCTGGTTTCCACTTTAAGAATCCAGTTTTCAGGCTAAAACACAAGAAACAATTAGTAAAGATTTATGTTTTACCATCAAGGCACTTCAGATACATTTCAAACTTTAGAACAGCCCTGGAAAAGAGCAATTACCTATGTGCCAATACTATGGTGGCATCACTATTGTAAAAACAAATGCCAGCACTGTTAAGAATTGCATAAAGCATTGCAATTATCTGCTATAGTTACAACCCTCACCCTAACATGCTCCTACTGTTCCCAGAGAATCTGCCCAAGTCCATCTTTTCAGCAGCAAGAAGTCAGCAGAAGAAAAATACTTTCTCCTATACCAACATGATATCTCCAGATTTCTAATACCACAACACCTGACAATAGTTTTTTCACATATCAGGAAGTTTCCAGCATTCCTTTACAGGATTGGTTTTTTTGCTTATGAGAATTATCAATGATTCTCCAATGCATACACAAATAAAAGAATTTATTTACCAACACAAAGACTCACATGTCATTTATATGTCTAAAATAGATCATGACACTAAAAGGTGACACACATGGGCACAAATACATAGGGAAAAATGAACATTGGCAAATTAGATGAGTCATTAGGCAATTTGGAATTTAATATGCTGACTTCCTCATTTTTAAAAGAAATTAAAATATTACCATAACTTTACAGTCTGCTTACATATTTGTTATAGGCCAACACATCATAGGCAATACATTCTTTACTTGGCAAAATAGTTGCATGTGAATACTAAGGTGATCTTGTTGTCTTACTTGGATGATGACCAGAGTGTGTAACACTAATACAGGCCTTTATACTGTGTTATTTTTATCACAGTCAGAAGTCCCAAACACATCAAGCTAAAATATACAATGCACTCAATCTACATACAATTTGAAGTCTCAGTGCCTTTTATTTCAAGTGCTCTCCAGATAAGCTTAAAAATAATTCTGCTGGAGGGCACTTTTGGTCAAGTAACTTGAGTAAGATATGCTGGGTTTTTTCGATTTCAAAGTTTTCCCTCTATGCCAATTTATACATTTGATCTATGATTTCCAGAGGGCCTCTCACTACTCTTACTAAAAGTATGGCATCCTTGGATTAGTCAGCTCTGTTACATGTATACCATACTCTGTGCAATTCAGCAAAATGGCTATATTCAGGGTTAAAATGCACAGTTACAGACTATCATAGATGTTAAGCTCTCCAACACAAACGTAAGTACAGGTCTTTGAAGCCAGCTGAGAAGCACCAATCACGCATTTCCCATGGACAGGAAACAAACACACACCACCTCAGCAAACAAGCCCTTTTATCTAACATAGTCTCCATATCTCTTTTCTCCCACTTGTCTCTAGCCTTAAGATGTGCCAGGGGAGATTTGGGATGGGCATTTAGAAAAAAAGAAGATTTAGGATGGACATCTGGAAGAAATTCTTCACAGAAAGGGTTATTAGATATTGGAGTGGGCTGCCCAGGAGGTGATAGACTCATCATCCCCAGAGGTGTTTAAGGAAAGACTGGATGTGGCACTCAGTGCCCTGGTCTAGTTGACAGAGTTGTGTTGTGTCACGGGGTTGGATTCGATCATCTCAGGCACCTTTTCCGACCGAACTAATTCTGTGACTTGTCTTCCTCCCACTGACTTTAGCGGAAGGGCAGAAGTGACAGACAGCCCTCGCTTTGCCGTCAGGGTCGGAGCAACAGAGGCCACAAGGCCCTAAAGGAAACTGCTCGGGCTCCAGGCCTCTGAGCCGCTCGGCCTCACCGACCGCACTGTTTGGTCTTAGGGCCGCTGTACCGTCCCTGCTCGGGGCAGCAGGCCCTCCAGAGCACCCAGCCCCGTAGGAAGGCTCCCCTCACGCAGAGGAGGGGCGGAGCAGCCATGCCCCCCCCCCCCCTCCGCGCCAGCCCCCGCGGCCCCGCCAACTCCCTCCTCTTCTCCCGAAGTGCGGCCGCCTGCCACACGGAGTCTCCTCAGCCCCCCTGCCCGGCCAGGAGGGGACACGCCGCCTCCATGGGGCAGGAGCGCCGGGCGGCCCGGACAGCGCGGATGCCGAGCTGGCAGCTGCTTAGCAGCGGCTCACCAGCTCCCTCCAGCCCGCACCCTCCGCCCCCCTGCCCTCCGCTCACTATTTCTCCGCTTTCGCGATGTGCTCCAGCGCCTCGTTAATCTTCTGCGCCGCCATCTCGCCAGCGCGGCGGGCCGGGCTCGGCCACGCTCCTCCGCCTCCGTGCGCTGCGGCTACGGAACGGCGCAGGGATCACGGGCACCGGGAGGAGCGGCCCGGGCCCCGCCTGCTCCCCGCGCCTGCGCCCGGGCCGCGGCCGGAGTGCCCTGGGTGCCCGGAGCGCCGCGAGTGTCCCGGAGCGCCCGGAGCCTCGGAGTTCTCCGAGAGCTCCGCAGTGCACTGAGTGCCCGGAGCGCCCCAAGAGCCGGGAGTGCTGCGGGCCGGCCCTGGACGCAGGGCCGCCGGCGTGGCCTGTGCGGGCAGGGGTGACCAGCGCTGGGCTGTGCCGCGCTCCGGGGGCGACGAGCACCTCCCGTGCACAGCCCCGTCCTGTGCTAGGCCGAGGCTTCTAAAAACTTTTTTAGAAAGTTTTTAAAAAACAGAATCACACACAATCCCAGACTCGTTAGGCTTGGAAGGGGCCTCTGGAGATCATCTGCTTCACCCCTCCTGCCAAGCAGGGTCACCTAGAGCAGGTGACACAGGAACCAGATGGGGTTTGAATGTCTCCAGAGGGAGACTCTACGAGCACCCAGGGCAGCCTGTTACAGCGCTCTGCCACCCTCAGTGTGAAGTTCTTCTTCATGTTGAGGTGAAGCTTCCTGCATTTTATTTTGTGACCATTACTCCTCGTCCAGTCACTAAGCACCACAAAAAAGAGCCTGGCACCATCCTCTTGACGCGCTCCTTTGAGACATTTATATGTATTCATGGGATCCCCTCTCAGTTTTCAGACTGAACAGGCCCAGCTCCCAGTCTCTCCTCCTAAGAGAGATGCTCGGTCTTTGTGGCCTCTGCTGGACCCTCTGCAGTAGCCCCTTGTCTTTTCTGCACTGAGGAGCCCAGAACTGGACACAGCCCAGAACAGCAATGAGCAAGACCTGCGTTTCCCAGGGTTTTTAACAGGAGGCCAGTTTTTTTATCAGTGCACAACTCAGAGGCCCAAATCTGAGCAGCACTGCATGCCCTGACCTTCTGACTCAGCGTTGGTGAAAACAAGAGGGTGTCTCCAGCCTGGCTGGCACAGAGATCTGATGCAGAAGGTGTGAGTGGTGGCTGAGCACACCAGAGCTGCTGACACAGGCCACACAATCATTCAGGGTACCCAAATTATGCACTCAGTAATTAAGTCAAAAATGCTAAAGTCTCTGTTATTGCTCATATGTCCAGCTTTCTTGATGACTTTGTTTGTTTTGTAAATGTGAAACAACTCTGAGAAAAAGAAGATCAGTCATGGAGCCCAGGAAGGTATTTTTTTCTCCAATCTTGGACATCATTATTTTCTTCCAATCTGAATAAGTGAAGTATTTATGAACACCAGAAGGAGAGAGCAAAGCAAGAACCTAATTAAATTTGCAGAACTTCCCAGAGCCTAGAGGTCATTGAAACGAACCTTATGGGTCCCTTCCAACTCAGTATTCTGTGATTCTCTGAAAGTCCATACCCTTTACAGGAATCAGAGCTTTACAAGTTTCTACATCAAACTGGGAAAAGAAGCAATATTTACGTGATTTCTTTTACTCTAGGTAGTCATAAAACTCACCAGTCTGAATTGCTTTCCCTTCCTTTTCCCACATTCCCTTGATGACATGGACACTTAATTTTCTGACTTTGGTTCTTGCATTGCACTTGAGAGGTTATCATCTATTGCAGATGGTGGAAAATTCCTACTAAATCTTAAATACTATTATTCTGTGTCTTAGATCAAAGTAGGGGAAAAGGTTGTAGAGAGGTTTTCTGCTTTGAAAAGCAGATGAGTTGTCACAGGAGTACTGGGAGAAAATAGCTAGTCTTGCATAATACATCCACAAGAAAGGTTTTTGGCAAGTTGCTCGGTGGTAGCAGGTATAAAGCAGAGGAAGCTATGATCAGAAAGATTCCTGTGTCATCACGTCTGTCTCTTTTTTTCCCTTATAATGTCAGCCAGGATAGATCTGGCCAGCTAACTGTGAGCTTGCTGCAGTGCCTTTCAAATAAATTTGTGTTAACCAGGAAAATTAAATCCTAGACAGCAGCACTGAATGACAGAATAATCTGACTGTTGTTCTGAAGCACCAAACTTATGACTCCTAGTTTGTGTGTTTGTTTTTGCTAGGGTTTCTGGCCTGCTCTGTTCCCTGGGTTGTAAATATCTGTTCACTTTCTAGTGAAACTGCACATGTGCACTGTCTGGTTACACTTTATACAGGAATGACCACACTAAAGATTTCCAAGACTAGTATTAAATGAAATAGGATATTCTTGGGTAGCTTTTATTTCGTAGACATGGATCCTCTGGAGATTTTACATCTGGGAAGGATCATATCACCGCATCTGGTGCTTGGCTGTGAATTAGAATTTGGTGCTGAAAAATGACCAGGTAAAGTGTGAAAAAAAAAATTTGCAGGGATAATAGTTGGAGTGACAAAGATGTGAACTCTGTAAATAGCTGTATTAGTAGAAATCATTGGTCATTAGCCAGTCCTCATCTGCCCATCACTACACCTTGCAGAGAGTTTCTGTCCTCTAAGCATTTCTTTGTTTGCACCATTGCAACCAAAGGAATCAAGCTGTGAGAAACAAGGTGCATATGCTTTACAATTAATTTTTCTTAAATAGGTTAAAGAGCACCTGTGTGAGACTTCATGGGGATAACCTCTGGCTAAAGCTGTAGGCAAGCAGCTGGAGACAGCACCTTCCACCACTATGGCTGGATCCCCCCCACAGCCCTGGCATCAGAGCAGCCTGGGTGTCCTTCAGAGTTGTTAGTTATATGAAACTATTAGTACAACCATAGCTAAAATTTGTTTCTCAATGAACTGTAACTTTTCTATAGAACTGTTGTGTTCTTTCAGAAAGTCAGGACTGACTGCAGCAAAATGTACTTTAAGTCAGCTGCTGAATCCTATCTGCTACTCCAGTGGATCTGGAAGGTGAATTTAAGTTTTCCTAGATCTGGATTTCTCACCTCTGTCTGGTACCCTTTTATGGCAGCAGAACATGGAAAGTTCTGCCTTGTAATTTATTAGTGTCTGAAATTGGAGTCATAACTACAATATTCCACCACCATGCTGAGGAAATTACCTGGAAGGAAGGGAGAGGGATCTCCATATTTCTTCTCCTAGAAAGACTGGGCCATCACTAATGGTCTAATGCACATTTGGGTCAGACAAATTTTGGGCCCATAATATACACAGAAATGTGCTCTGTGATCACTCCAACCCAGTGCCAGCACCTCAGCGCTCTGGTATCTTTCCTTTTCCTGTCTTCAGCATTAAATCCATGTAACTTATTTGTCTTTCAGACATTACTGTCTTTGTGAATATGGCAGAAAGCAAATTAATAACTCTGAGGGCAGGAAAGCTAATAAAGACTGGTTTTCTGTAGATTGATACTGATTGTCTTTAATTAAATAGCAGAGGACTTTAATTAAATAGCAGTGTGAGCATGCCTTATATTAGATGTCAGAGAATAAAGAGAGAGCCATCATAAATATTGCAACTGGTGGAAGGTGGTAATGTCTGCTTGGATTTCCAGATTCATTGGACATGAGAGAGGAGGAGGATGTTCTGGTAGGAGTAGCCAGTGTGAATCATTCATAATGCTTTCCACACTATTTGTTGAACATATATAATTTACATGTTCCTATTGAGGGTTAAGTAAGGTGGCCTGTCCACATAGGTAAGGCAGGTTGATTTTGTCAGTAAGTAGTAAGATAGATGATGCATCATGACTATCAAGACCCTTTGAGTCACTCCCTACCATTCCCCTGGTCTCCCTTGCTTCCAAAAATAATCCATTTCCCTCAGTCACGACAACCCTCAAATTGTAATTTATTTAAAGTCAAATTAATTTTGTACAATACTTAATGTATGACTCACAAATAAATGTACAGTATTTACAGATGTGAAAAAGAGCTCTTCTGGAGGAAAGTTGAGTCACCTATTTCTGCTGGGTTTTTGAGAACCCAGGGTTGGATAATTGGCACCACACCACTTCCCACATGCTCCAATGGGAATCTGACCAACTCAGTACCTTTGGCATTTATCACCCCCTAGTCTTACTCCTTGATACTTCCTCATCTTCTCAGCCACTGCATCCACAAGTGATAATAATTTGTTTTCATACCTGATGGGTGTATGCACCACCAGTGCCTGACCCACCCTTAACAAATGCTTGAAGAGCTTGTTTTGGTGGTCTCAGAGAAGTTGCTATTTTCTGTTTTCCAGTGGTGGCAATTCCACAGCCCTGACAACCTGTTCCAATTAAAAATATCTTCATTCTGCTGGTTACTAGATCTTGGAAACATGACCTTTGGAGCAAAAATTTCGCATTCTGAGACTCAGATCTCACTGCAAAACCACTTCTGGAATCACCTTGACTCCTTCAGGGTGCCAGTTAGTTACTGGGCTAGGCTCACAGTTTGTTGGCTAGGCTCTTCCTAGCTGGCTCTCTTCCCTCTGGCAATTTACCAAGCAGTCATACCTGCACGAAGAGGGGGCAGGAATATATGTTGCAGGCATGAATTGCCTAAGTCAATTGAAGTACCACATCATAAATGTGTAATCATAGCTTTATTTTAGCTTCTCTTTCTCTTGATGAGGTAACTTGCTCAAGATAGAGCACATACATAATTTAAAAACGTGACACCTTTTCTGCTCCGGCTTTGCAATTCCAGAACCTCTGGACACCTCTCCTGTTTTTCTTCATTCTCCCTTCTTTCTGAATTGTTCTCTACAGAAAACTCTCACATCAGATTCTCCTGGTGTTAAGCCAGCTATTCCTCCCACAGAATCCACACAGTATTAATGGTTTTTGATGGATCTTCCATTGCTTTGCAGCAGTTTAACAACAAGATGCTCAGTGACTCATGGAATGACGTGTAGCATTGCTCCTCAAATCAAGAGGCATTCATAACTTGACATGAACACATATCCTTCAGTTTTTCATTGAAGTACTATTCGAAACAGATCCCGAAACATTGGCAGGAAAACATAACTGTTTTCATCAGCTTTGAAAGCATAATTAGATTTTTCCACTTTTCTATAGGATTGCCACATTTGATCATGA